CCCCCGGCCGGTTAGCTCGGTTGGTTAGAGTGTGGTGCTAATAACAGCAAGGTCCAGGGTTTGACCCCTGTACTGATCAGCTAGCGACCAAAACAAAAGAAAAAAAAGGAAGCGTGGGTTTGGAGGACTCCCCTCCCCCCAGGGTGACTAAATTAGACATGTTATGTAAGTCAGGCATTGGGTTTGGGGCCAGAAGGTTAGAAAGCATTTGTCCTGGAGTTTGTCCTTTTGTTTATTCAAGAGAAGTTGCTGTGAAACTCTCCTCACTTGAAGCAGAACTTTGGCAGAGACTCAGTGTCACAGAAATTCCTACTCTAGCTCCTCAGCCCAGGGAGGGGAGACCACTGAGTCTAGAAGAGAAATGAGAAATCTAAACCAGAGAAGTTTCCAGGTTACTGCTAGGCAAACCCAGGTTTATCTTATCGGTGGAGAAGAATGGATAGATTGTTGAAAATTGATTCACCTAATTCTCCAATGAAGCATGACTCAGCAAATTCAGGGTTTCCAAAGGCAAACGAGTGATCCTTCCAGGGACCTAATCTAAATCAGATGCGGAAGCCTGGTCTTTGCCCGGGAAGAAAGGAGTGGGGCCTGTGGGAGATTACCCAGCTGGCCCACTTCTCCCCTGCATACTTCCTGGTCTTTGCAAAATCACAATGAAAACTTTTTCAGGACACGCTAGTTTATTATGCAGTTGAGCACGGAACACACAGAAAAAGGTGATGTCCATGCTGCTCAGAATCTTTGACCTGAGAGAGTTCCAGGATTTAGAGCAATACTGTAGTCACCTGCTGAGGGCCCGGCTCAGGAAACCAGACCTGCTGTCACATTTAATCCCCACATTAGCCCCCAAAGGTATTCCTTAAAGCATCTGGGAAGTGAAGGCATTTGCCCAGGCTCACCGTCTGCGAGGAGTGGAGTCAGGAATTGAACCCAGATCTGTCTGACTTTGAGTTTGGTACTAAAAATGCGAAGTCAACCTGTGTCGGGGCAGTAAGTAAACCATGAAGATGAAAGTTCATGAATAAGAGAGTTTGAACCTCCTTGAAAGCAGAACTGGCCTGTGACTGGAGGTTGGAGTTGGAAGAACTGGGTAAAGAGCACATCAAAATCCTGGCTCTGCCCTTGCTACCATGTGACCTTGAGCAAGTGGCTTGATCTCTTCCGTGCCTCAGTGTCCTTCTCTGTGAGGTGGAGAACATGGAGTTCATCTTCTAGGTTTGCCATGAGATTTGAATGGGAACAGTTCAAGTGCAGAGAACTCTTGCTGCAGGGGCTGCCTCATAATGAGAAGCTAGTAAATGTTAGCTGTTTCCGTGACATTCAGGAGGCCAGGTGGATGTCCTCCTGGGGGTGGGGGGGATGAGAGGTTGGAGGGGACGGTACAAGACCAGCCCAGCTCACCCCACCCACTCCAGCCAGCCTCCCTCGCTGCCTCAAGCACATAGCTGCCAATTTTACTGGACTCAGGTCAGGCTGCCCGCCCTTTTGAAAAGGAAAGAAAAAAAACTCAGAAGTCAAATGGTTGGTGTTAGAAAAGCAAATGTATTCAGCTGAAGCAGATGGTAGGCTACCCCATCTCAAAGATTTACATTTACTGAGGGGTTTTTAAAGGAAGAGTTGAGGGAATGGAATATGGGAGGTGAAAAGCAGGAGAGCAGGAGATGTGAGTTACGAGGGGTCCGTGTCTATGTGTCAGGTACAAGGTCTCGCCAAAGCCTCATCCGGTTTCTGTTCTCATCTTCGCTGTTATCTCAGGATTCTGCAAGATTTTGGTTTGCGCCAGTGTACTTGGCTAGTGCCCAAGGTCAGCTGCCAGTCGTTTGGCCTTGATTATTTCTCAAAACTCTACAAGTCTCAAAGAAAGAACTGTTAGCTTTGCAAAGTACTAATTAGCTTCACAGCCTTGTTTTCCTACTTATCGAGTGAGATAAGAAAGTCAGGGGATGGGAAGCAACAGTGGAGAGAAAAAAACTGTCCTTTTTAATATCCTCCCACCTTGTGCAGCCCAGGCAGCTTTAGGTCCCAACATGGCTTCAGTCCTGCTCACTCCAACACCAATGCAGTGAGGTGTGAGGCTGTGAACCCCGAGCCCGCACTGCAGGTGAAGACAGCAGCAGAGCTCAGCACACAGTCGCAGGCTGCCCGCCTGCGTGTGCCTGTCCCTCCTCCTCATGTTAGTTAGAGAGGCCCCAGGAGCTTGCCCCTCCTCCACATTAAATAGAGAGGAGGCTGATTCTCAGAGAGGAGGAGCATGTATCCAGGGCCTTCCACCCAGGCATGGCAGAGTTGAAATTGAACTCCGGCTCCATGCTTGGGCTCTTTTTACCATGCCCGGGCAGCCCTCCTGCCGGAAGAAACAAGAATGTCATTTCCCTAAAGATTTTTTTTTTTCTTTTTTCTTTTACAGCTGGCCTGTACGGGGATCCGAACCCATGACCTTGGTGTTATAAGGCTGTGCTCTATTTATTTCCCTAAAGATTAATGATCGACTGGCTATTAGGAAACCACACAAATTTTTTTTTTTTTTTTTTTTTTTGGCTTTTTGTCTTTTTTTTCCGAGTCCGGCAACGGATCGCAACCCTTAGTGTTGCCCCCGTACCGGACCGGGGACCGGCAACGGGATCGCAAGCCTCGGTGTTGCTCCCGCGCCTCGCTCAGCCAGTGAGCGGGAGCCGGTCGGTTTGTGGGATCCGAACCCTCGGACGGGAGTGCCACCGCGCTTCCCAAGCGGCGCACTATCCAGTGCGCCACCGGGCCGGCCCGCACACAAATATTTTTTCAAAAATCTGGTTAACGTTTACCCACGTTCTCCTGCCTAATGCCGAGAGTCTTTACTGTGTATGCACAGCTGCAGATTCTGCCATGATGGTGGTATAGGGATTGTGCAGAAATATCAAGTTTCAGCCTGGAAAAGTGACCCCACTAGGTCCTTACCTGACCGGCTCCTTCCTGGGGTGCCCAGTCACCCTATCATTATCACAGCACTGGGCACTTGCTGCATGCTTAGGTGAGGCACAAACACTCTGAACTCTCACATGCCACTTTATGAAGGGCTACTATAATGAGTCCCACTCTGTTGGTGAGGAAACAAAGGCTCAGGGAGGTAAAGGCCTTGTCCCGTGTGACAAAACTGGAAGCAGGAGAGTCCAGATTCATCTAGATTCTTGTCCCAAACCTTGGCTCTTGACTACTAACCCTGGCTACCGCTCCCTGGGTCCTGCTGGTCCTCAGATCTTGGGCCCTGGTATGAACCAAGCTCCAGGCTTTGCATGGTGGTTTGGTCTTGTGTGTGATCATAGACTCAGGCCTGAGGTGCTAAGCCATGCTGGGATGCTGGGGCCAGAGAGACCCCTTGAGGAAGGCAGGCAGAGAGCTGGACATCCTTGCCTTCACCTCACCTGTGGCCTTTCCCTGAGCCCTGGGGAAGTGACCACTGTGGGTGCCTCCCTGAGCCTGAAGGGAACAGCTTACTGGGAGATCTTCTCTGTGCTCCCCTGAGACCATTGCCTGGCTTCTGGGGAACAGAGAGCAAACTTTGGCACTTTATCAAGCAGCTTTGATAAGGACTCTCTCTCTCTGAGCAAATGAAGAGGCTTCCATCTCCCTGCTGTGGCCTGATGAAGAATGAGATCTTTCCCTAGACATGGTTTGGTCGCTGTTAATACACCGGCAACAACAGCGATGGCCTAGTTTTAATTATGAGCCAGGTGCTGAACTGAGGGCTTCACGGGACCCACCTTCCTCTCTTACTCCATCCCTTTCACTTCCTAGTTCACCAGTAACTCTGGCCACCTTTGTTCTTTCTCAGATCCATCAGACTTGTTCCTGCCCCAGGGGTTTGCACTTGCTGTTCCCATTGCCTGGACTGCTTGTCCTCTCTCTCTTCCTATGAGTGGCTCCTTTTCATCAGTCAGGACTCAAGTCATGCGTCTGATCCTCGGGGAGGACCCCCCAGCCATCCTGGCTAACATTCTCCATACCCCCTCCCATAGTCACTTTCTCTGGATCCCATTTTTCTTTTTTGCACTTATCACTGCACTCTGAGGTGGTCTTGTATATTTGATTGTGTCTCTGGTTTTCTGTGCCCGTGACAATGACAGCACCCTGAGAGCAGCATCTTTGTTGTTTTTTTGTCTCCACTATGTCCTCAGCCCTGGAATAGTGCCTGGCCCATCACAGGGATTCACTAAATATTTGCTGAATGGGTGAAAGAATAATCTAATTCCATTCTCATGACAACCGTGGGTGAAAGTGTAGTAGGTAAAGGTGGTTGCACATTCTTTGCTGCTCCTCCCGAGGAGAGGGGAAGCTGTCTCTCCTACCTGTGAATCTGGACTGGGCCTCTGACTCACTTTGACCAACAGAATTTGGTGGCAGAAATGAGGCCACATGATTCTTGAAGCTAGATCTTAGGAAGCCTTTCAGCTTGCACCTGGGTCTCTTGGAACACTCTTTCTCTGGGGAAGCCAGCTGCCATGTGAGTGGGCTGAGCCCGCCATGTAGTCAGGAAGCCCAAGCAGCTGCTTGGTGTCAGACAAATGAGTGACAAGCACACATCTTGCACATCCAGCACCATGGAGTTCAGATGATCCAGCCCAGCTGCCCTCAGACTGTCACCACATGAGTGAGCCCACATGAGCCCTGCCCAGCTGAGCCCAATCAGGTGACACAACTGTGACAGATAATAAATCATTTCAAGCCACTGAGTTTTAGGGTGATTTGTTACAGCAGTCAATAACTGGAACAGGTAGGAACATTCTCCTCATTTTTCAAAGAAACCAAGGCTCTGAAAGGTCAAATGACTTATTCAAGGTCACTTGGCAGAGGGCATTCCAGCTTAGATTTTCTCCAAGGCCTGTGCTTTTAACCTCCAGGCTATACCTCTCCGAAGCTAATTCATATATATCCATATTTGTTCTGATTTTTTTTTCTTACATTGCAGGTGGTCAGTGTTCAGTTGAAAGCTGGTTCTGAGAACTTTTTCCTTCTTCTTGTAGATTTTCATAGACAATGAATGGCATGATGCCGCCAGCAAGAAAACATTCCCCACAGTCAATCCGTCCACGGGAGAGGTCATCTGTCAGGTAGCTGAAGGAGACAAGGTGAGAACTGGTGACTTGCCTTTTGACAGGAATGTTTTTGTTTTTTATGTATTTTTGTACTGTTGAAACTTTACCATATATGTGTATTACTTTCATAACTGAAACATACCAATTAAAATTTTTGAGTAAATGAATCAAAAGAAACTCTTCTCTGAAAACAAAGGTATCTGGGTTGGAAAATTCATATAGTGTGCATTTATCCGGTCTATCCTTTCCAGACCTGGAAGGTGAAGATCAGAGAAAGGAGATGCACAGCTAGATGGAAATCTTATTAGTTAGAATTTGGGCTTCCTAAGATCTAGCTCTCTTCTTGGTTTGAATTATATATACTGGTAGGAACTGAAAAAAAATCAGTAATATCTTAAGAATTTTTAAATTAGATTCTTGGTAAAAGTATTTTATTTTTTTAAATATAAAAGACATTAAAAATAACTCAAGAATGCTTCCTGCCCTCTGCTTTAATACAATCCTTTACACTCATATGTAAGACCTTGCCTCCTTTGCTAAAAGCAAATGTGAATCTTTTTGGTTCATCAGACAGTCCAATGGTAAATGTGTTCAATATAAATGAAAACCCTGTTCCCTGATTCCTGATTCATATCCCTCTATGAAAAATGCTAGCTGTGTTGATTTTACCGCTTCTCCAAGGAGAGGGAAGTTGGTTAAACCTTCATTTGTTGGAGGTTGCTAGTTGTCTTAGAAGGCATGGTCCATTTTGCTGGGCTTGCTGCTTACGAAGCAGTAAAAAGTGCTCAAATTCTAAGCAGTGACTCCTGGGTGCCTCTCCCTCCAAAACTCTTTGGAGGATTTTGAAATGAAAATACCAGAAAAGAAACTGTCAAGGTCCTCATTCCCACTGTGACTCCTAGGAAGGAGAGTGGGGGCTGTTATTCTGCCCTGTCACTGAGCTTATTAGATGGAACCGTGTGGGGTGAGGAAGGACTATTTGGGGACAAGTTTCCATGCAGGCATGTGCTGATGCCCCAGGGGTGTGCTTGGCAACAGGGCAGGTGATATCTGGAGGCGGTTGTTGCTGCAAAGGCCTGAGTTGCCTCTGTGGGTCTCTTCCAGCAAGATGTGGACAGGGCAGTGAAGGCTGCCCGGGCTGCCTTCCAGCTGGGCTCACCCTGGCGCCGCATGGATGCGTCTGAGAGGGGCCGCCTGCTGCACCGCCTGGCCGACCTGATTGAGCGGGACCGGACCTACCTGGCAGTGAGTCCTCAGCCTTCTCCCCTTGCATCCCATGTGGGGAATGGGCTCATAGCATCCTGTGAACAGACGGGCTACGATGTGACAATGTAAATGATCAGAATGACTTAGGAAAGACACCTTTGGGGGATGCCCCTGCATCAGCCAGACGAGCTTCCCTGTATCCTTTGTTTTGTTTTGTTTTGATTTTTGGCGGCTGGCTGTTATGGGGATCCAAACCTGTGACCTTGATGTTAAAAGGCTGCGCTCCAACCAACTGAACTAACTGGTCAGCCCTCTCTGTCTCCTTTGATGCAGTGGGTTTGGCTAAGAAAGAAGGAAACTGGGGAGTGTAGGGAGAAAAGCTATGATGGGGAGGCCTTCCTTGGAGAGAGACCCCCAGGAAGGGGTCTTCCCAGGGCCCCCTGCATAGTGGGCCTTCTCTCCATCCGTGAGAGGCAGAAGAAAACAGGAGGCAATCTCCTCCCCTCCCCCAATACATTCATCACACAGCAGCTAAAGTGAACCTTTGAGGGCCGGCCCCATGGCTCACTCGGGAAAGTGCAACGCTGGTAGCGCCGAGGCTGCAGGTTCAGATCCTATATAGGGATGGCTGGAGCGCTCACTGGCTGAGCGTGGTGTGGACCACACCATTCCAAGGGTTGCGATCCCCTTACCGGTCAAAATAAATAAATAAATTAAATAAGGTGAACCTTCGAGAAGGCAAATTATCCCATGGTACTATGCCTTAAAGCCTTGCCTGGCATCCCGTAACTGTAGGATAACGTCCTCAACATAGTCTGTGAGACCCTGCCTTGTCTGGCTCCATCCAAGTCATGCTGGACTGTGCCCCTCAGACATGCAGCCCAGCTACCAGCCTTTCCTCATATTTTTGACCAAGTTTCTTAGAGCATCAGGGCCTTGACACATGCTGCTCCCTCTGCCCGGGGTGCTCTGAGCTCTGTCGCCATTTGTAGTGTCTTCTTGGCCTAGTTGCCTCCTACTCATGCTTAAGGTTTTAGCCTAAAGTGCTGGTCTCGGGTTGGTATTCCTCAGACTGGGTTGGGCAGTCTGGCCTCCTACTTTCTAGTACTCATCACATGTGTGATTAATGATTTGTGTCATTATTCACTCTCTTTGCTCTGTAAACTCCTTGTCGTCTGTATTCCCAGCATCTAGTTCTGGCAGAAAGCAGAAGCTCACACAATGTGTTTGTGAAGTGACTGAGTGAGAAATTGATGCCTCATCTCTCCCGTGCCCCTTCTTCTCCCTGCCTGTGGAAAACCTGGGACAGTGGCCCAGAAAGGCCGCTGACATTCAGTGGCACAAAGGGGACTCTCGCCCTTGTTTTCCGCCAGCCCTTCCCAGCCCAGGCATCAAATGTTGTCCTTCGGCCCACTTGCTTTGTTTCACTCCTGTACCAGCATGTCTCTGCTGACCTTATTCTCTTTTCTCAGGCCTTGGAGACTCTGGACAATGGCAAGCCATACGTCATCTCCTACCTGGTGGATTTGGACATGGTCCTCAAATGTCTCCGGTACGGGCTTGGGTTTCCTATCCTTCTTTGTTCTGGAGGTGCCAACGGGGAGGGAGCATTGTGGTCAGGAGGTAGAAATCAAATTTCAAAAATGCAAAAGGATCACAGGAGTGGGAGAAACCTGCTCCATTTAGACTTCATTTCGTGGGAAAAATCCCTCAGTATCAAAAATTGTAACTTAGTTGTAAACATTTTCTCTTTCTTCTTGAGTCACTTTTGGTCATTTCTGTGTTACTTGGAACTTGTCCGTTTTATCTAGGCTATCTAACTTGTTGGTATACAACTGTTCATAGTATTCTTCTGTAGTCATTTTTATCTCTGTAGGGCCTGTAGTAATGTCTCCACTTTCATTTCTGATTTTAGTTATTTGAGTCTTCTCTCAGTTTTAGTCTAGCTAAAGGTTTGTCAGTTTTGTGAATGTTTTCAAAGAACCAAAGTTTTGGTTTTGTTGATTCTGTTGTTTTTCTATTTGCCACATCATCTGTTTTTATTCTAATCTTTATTCTTTCCCTCTTTTTCCTAGCTTTGCGCTTAGTTTAATCATACTAATGATTAATGACCGTGGAATTAGAGCTTTGTTAGAGCTTTTTGGGTTGCAGTTAACAGAAACTCATTCAGCCCAGTTTATGCAATACAAAGTCGGTGGTCTCAAATCTAGAAGGCCATCGAATCTCATTCATCCTGCTCCCTTGCTTCATTCTTTTGGCCATACATGGCCTCCTTTGGAGCCACTCTCTGTTGGGACCTGGCTCCCTATCCTGCCTGGGCTTGTTTCTGTACTCATGATTCCACCCAAACTAAGATGCCATCTTCTAGTCCTAATGCCACATTCCTGTGGGAGGGACCCTGATCGGCTGGTCTTGAGTCTGATCAGCTGTGGTTAGGGTAGACAGACTGTTGTACAAATATTGGCAACTGTCCTGTGACATGTGGACAGAGAGGGTGGGGTGGAAGCAGTGCCAGGGTAACTACTATTTTGAACAACAAAATAGTAGTTATCCTTCATAACAGGGGTGCTCAACAAGGGTGAGCACGTCTCCCAGGGTACAATGAGCAATGTCCAGAGACATTTTTGGTTGTCAATGACTGCAAGGGAGGGGTGCTGCTGGCATCGAATGGGTAGAGGCCAGGTATGCTGCTAAACATCCTACACACAGGATAGAGCCCCCACAACAAAGAATTTTCCAGCCCCAAGTGTCAGTAGTTCTGAGACTGAGCAACCCTCTGTGCAAGGACGTACCAGAGAGGGCAGCCTCGTGAATCTCAGGCAGAGCTACATGTCTTCCTGAGTTTTAGTATTATAATTTTGCACTGATCAAATAGTGTTTCTAAGCCTGCAAAACTCATGTAATGTAAACCGTGGAGTTTTTTTTTTTTTGGTGGCTGGCCAGTCTGGTATCTGAGCCCTTGACCATGTTGTTATAACACCGTGCTGTTGGGCCGGCCCGTGGCTCACTCAGGAGAGTGCAGTGCTGATAACACCAAGGCCATGGGTTCGGATCCTATTAACCCCCCCCCCCAAAAAAAAAAAACACCACGTTGTAACCAATCGAGCTACGTAGACCGTGTTTGTATAGATCTGAGAGGAAGGAAGCAGCCATGCCTGGACTTGCAGAGATTAACTACCTGGGTATTTCTCTCTCCAGGGTCACAAACCTGTGTTCAAACCCAGGTCAATTGCAGTCTCAGGCTAATCATGCCAGACACCACTCATTTCAGAAATGTCTCTTTTGCCGTATGCTTTATCTTTCCCCCATCTTTCATTTTCCTCCTTCCCTGAAAAACATAACTGTTACATACCACATGCACACTGCTGGTTTCCTCCCCAGCTTGAATTTGCTGTGCTTTCTGTCACTGGTGTCCCTTTATGTGTAGATAATGAGCTTCTAAAGGGGGAGGTGCCCAGTTGGTGATTGCTGTCTCTCTGTACTATCTAAGTACAGTGCTCTGCACCCCGAAAGTGCTAGCCATTTGATGAGGCCACACTTTCCTACCAGATTCAGTCCATGGCTCTCAGATGCTAGACCGTGGTACCAGGCTGGTACAACAGTCACATTTTAGTAAATCTGGGCGTCTATTAAAAAGACTAATTTCGGGGGCTGGCCTGGTGGCGCACTGGAGAGTGCACCGCTTGGGAGCGTGGTGGCGCTCCCGCCGAGGGTTCGGATCCCCTGTGGAGACCGGTTCCCGCTCACTGGCTGAATGTGGTGCGGGCGCAACACCGAGGGTTGCGATCCTGTTGCCGGTCAGTAAAAAAGACAAAAAGGAAAAAAAAAGACTAATTTCGGGGCCAGCCTATGACTCACTTGGGAGAACGTGGTGCTGACAACACCAAGTCAAGGGTTAAGATCCCCTTACTGGTCATAAAAAAAAAAAAAAAATAATAATAATAATAATGATAATTTCTGGACATCATTCCCAGAGAGCCAGATTGAATAGGTTGTAGGTGGGCCCCTGGAATTTGGTGATTTCTAAGAAGAACCCCAGGTGATTCTGATGCTTAGAGATTAGTGACTGGGGTGGATTATTGTCACCCTAGCATTCATTTAGGTCTGAGAATAAGCCAAAAGCAAGGGTAGTTATCAGAAAGACCCAACTGGATCAGTTTGTCTTGTCTTTCTGCCATTGTTTCTGGGGTTCCTGACAATCACTGATTAAAGCTTGGAATTTTCTTTTTTTAAAAGGTATTATGCTGGCTGGGCCGATAAGTACCATGGGAAAACCATTCCCATCGATGGAGACTTCTTCAGTTACACCCGCCATGAACCCGTGGGGGTGTGTGGGCAGATCATCCCGGTGAGTGCTAGCCTCACCGAAGGGTCATCCGGAGGGCTGAGACTTGGCAGTCTCGGCCAGACTCATTGCAAAGATGGAGGTTTTACGGGTGGTGTTGGGAGGTACCTGAGAACGTGGGCTTTAACAAAGCCAGCCTCAGTTTGAGTTTGAGCCCTGTGGCTCTGTGACCTTGAGCAAGTCGCTCATCCCCCTAAGCCTCAGTTTACTCATCTGAACAGTGGAAGTGAACATAGTGCCTGTCTTCGGAAGGTCATGATTAGGGTTTGGCACAGTGCCTGGTACATAAAGCACTGGTAAATGTGATTCGTGTCATTACCATCTGCTACCTGTCTCATGCATCTGTCTTAAACCTACGATCAAGCTGGGGGGACACACAGGGTACTTGGTGCTGCTTCTGTTCTCCAGTGTGGCTCTTTCTGCTCTTCGGTGTAGCTTGGATTTCAGAGGTGGCTGTTGTTTATTGCAGTGGAACTTCCCACTCCTGATGCAAGCGTGGAAATTGGGCCCAGCCTTGGCAACTGGAAACGTGGTTGTGATGAAGGTAGCTGAGCAGACGCCACTCACTGCCCTCTATGTGGCCAACTTGATCAAGGAGGTACATGGCTTGTTTCCATTTTGATCTCTAAGTGCCCTTGTCTAGGCTTGCTCTGAAGGAGTTCTGAAGAGGAGACCCAAAAAGGGTTTGTAGAGCCCCACCATCACCGTACTTGAACCGGAGAGGCTTACCTGTTCTTATCCCTCTTACCTGTTCTCTACATTGGGCCTCACTGCAAGGCGTCCTTTGAAGAATGGAAACCATTGTTCTAAGTGAATGTGGTGGCAGTGTGGGGGAGTGGTCAGCTGCCACAGGGCACCCCAGGGAACAGACCCCTTGTCCGTACCATTAGAATTCCTGTGCAGTACCACATAAACCTGGCTCCTGCTCATGTATCTTAGCAAACTGTCATAGCCTCTCTGGGAACAGGTGTGTTTCCCCCTGCCCAGGCCCTTGGAGCAGGAGGCTGACTCCCAGTGTCCCTGCTATTTGCCCACAGGCCGGCTTTCCCCCAGGCGTGGTCAATATTATTCCTGGATTCGGCCCCACGGCCGGGGCTGCCATCGCCTCACATGAGGATGTGGACAAAGTGGCATTCACAGGTTCCACTGAGGTAAGGCGTCCCTGTGTCCTCCAGCTTGTGGCTTGTTTGGCTCAAGCTCTCACTGTCCTCAAAGGGTGATGCATTCAGGATGAGCTCCTGGGTATCATGCCCCTGGGTATACCCCAGGACTTGTCTCTGAATAGCTCAAGTAAGGGGCCCCGTATGTGCCAGCAGTGAGGGAGCTGGTATATTAGTCTATTTCTGTTGCTTATAACAGAATACCTGAAACTGAGTAATTAATAAAGAAATGAAGTTTATTTCGTTTTGGAGACTGGAAGTCCGAAGTTCAGGGAACATATCTGGTGAGGGCCTTCTTTTTGGTGGTGACTCTCCACAGCAACGTAGGATGTCACATGGTGAGAATGGGCTGAGCAAGAGAGCTAACATCCTCACTCACTCTCCTTATGAAGCTATCTGAACCATGCCCACAGCCACCCATTAAACTCTTACTGGATTAATCCATTCATGAGGGTACAGTCCTCACAATCTAATCACCTCTTAAAGGTCCTACCTTTCAAATACCCTGATGGGATTTCCCATCCTCTTAACACTGTTACAGTGGAAGTTAGGTTTCCAGTACGTGAACTTTTGGGGAACACATTTAACCTGTAGCAGCAGGCTTGAGTGCTTTGTGATTTGGTTGCCGCTCTAGCTGCTGTGGGGAGGGGCCAGCATCCCACGTAGAATAAGGAGGCCGGGACTGGCTAGACTTCATAAAGCCCAGAGCCAACTGCCTGCCCAAAGTCAAAGCCACGTCAGGCTCCTCGACTAGCACTGTCACTGCGGTTGAAGACTGCAGCCTTCAAAAAGGCATGCGTTCCAGTCCTGGCCTTTCCATGATGACATGGGGTGATTTACAGAATGTCTTTGAGGTGCTCTCCATTTTCTATAAAATGATGATGGCAATGTCTATGCGGTAGAGATAGTATGGACAGTGCAGTGGGGGAGATAATGGGCTTTGAAGTCAAACTTACAAAGTAGCACTTACTAGCTGTGCAACCTTGGGCAAGTCACTTAGCCTCCTGCGGCCTGTGTTTCCCCATCTGTAAAATGGGGCTAATAACCATACCTACCTCACTGGGTTGGAGTGAGGCTGAGATAAGCTTGTGATGTGTTTAGCTCAGAGTAAGTGCCGGATAAGTGAATGAATGAGTGAGGGGTGTTAATGATGCTGTTCCATGCCAGACACTGGAGAGACAAAGACCAATTAGGTGATTCCTTAAACATAATCTCCTTGAAAACAGGGATAAAATTCCCTCTAAGGTGGTAAACTTTTTCCTGTCCCTGTGTAAAGTAAGGCAAATCATAACTAAAGCCAAAATGTTTCGTTATTTTAGTTATACTAAGTTTCCATTTATATTGTCAGAGCTAGGGCTTAGACCCTTCAAGCCCATTGTACAGACTGTTCAAGCCCATCCCCAGACCCCTCACACGCCAGGCTGGGTTCCCAGACCCCTCACACACAAGGCTGGGTTCCTAGACCCCTCACATGCAGGTCCATGCTAGGTAATGGGAAAGATCCTGGGAGCTGTTGGCAGATGATGCAAGTTCAGTCCTCAGCAGCAGCAGCAGCACAGCGGCGGCCTCTTAGAGGGTCCCGGGGACACTGGCAGCAATAGCCTACAGCTGCAGTAGTAGCTTCCCCATGCCCCCCCTCCCCCAGGGGCATCCCGGGAGTGGAGGGCACTGTGGATCACAGTCACTCATCTTTTATACTTAAGTCCATAACCCAGGACACTTGGGTGCACATGCACAATTACATTAGACCATAACCAAGGAACACCTGAGCACATGTGCATATTTACATCAAATGCTCAGCAAGATTCTGAACATCTGAGGGGCCCTGACCATTTTCCTATATTTTCCCAACACCCTGAAATCTCGGAAGGCTTCATTGCATGACTTCTGAGAAGGAACACTGAATAGTGTAATGAATGTGATCTTCAAACAGTTCCACCTGGGTGTGATGAAGACAACTTCAGACATTGTCTGCATGTGGTGATGGCTGGTCTGGAAAGGACACAGCTGTGGCCACGATAACGTGGTCAGGTTGCCTTGCTGAGTCACTGCCTCACTTAAGGCTGAGGCATTGTTGAGAATCTCACGGAGGGGGTGGTTTTCTGACGGGGATACATGTGTCCATTCAACAAACAAGTACAGGTGTGGCTTGTGCCAGACTCTGGGAATACGGAGGTTGGAAGCACCCTGTCCTTGCCTTCACAGAGCACGCAGTGTGCCGGGGTACAACACCCAAGACACCATGGGAAAGAGGCCGGATAGCAGGTTTGAACTGGTGCTGGAATTGGACTGCCGCCCAAGTGTGAATTCTGATCACACATTTACCAGCTGTGTGACTTTGAGGAAGTGACTTGACCACTCTGAGCCTCAGCTTTTATGGTTTTAAATAAGGAGAGGTGTCGCCCCTACTTCTGAGGGTATCATGAGGATTGAATTTAATACACACAAAGCATTTAGCAGTGCCTGGTATGTGTGGGTGCTTAGTACATAGAAGCCACACAACAGTGACTCTGCTCATATTATCGTCATTGTCATCCTTGGACCTCAGGGGGTGCAGCAGCAATGGTAAGCAAATGGCTAGATTTGGTAAGAGTCTCTGCCAGTGCCTTCCTCAAGTTTTGGGGTCCTCTGTTCTGTGTCTGTGTAGAGCCTTTGGTTCCCTTTTCCCCCCACTGAGAGAACTCATCTCTGTTTCTGCATCCCTACAGGTTGGCCACCTAATCCAGGTTGCTGCAGGGAACAGCAACCTCAAGAGAGTGACCCTGGAGCTGGGGGGGAAGAGTCCCAACATCATCATGTCAGATGCTGACAGTAAGTTTTGGGGTGGAGGAGGCCTGCATTGAAGGCTGCTGCTGTCTGTCCACACTGGTTCCGCTCGCTTTTGCAGCCCTCAGCATCTGGCAGAATCGGTTTCTGCCCCATGGGCTTCAGGATAAGGCCAGCCTCCCTAGCATGGAGCTCTGGGGCCACGTGGTCTGGCTTCAGCCTCTGTCCCTTTGCTATGGTCCAGCCAGGCTGAGCCCCTAAGTCGGACGACCACGCCACACACCGCTGTCTGACTAGACCACTCTGCCTCCATCTGATCTTTTTTCTGGGTCCTGCTGAGGAGTTCCCTGATTTGCCCTCCCTGAGGAACTTTTCTCTTCATGTCTGTCTCCCACCCAGTCTCCAAGCTCTGAGAAGGGAGAGATTGGGGCTGTCTTGTTCCAGCCTAGGCTATGGCACCCAGCAGGCGCCAACCCCAATGATAGCATGAATGGGTTAAGTGTGTAGGCACCACAGGGCCAGGGTTGTCGTTGTCCTCTCCTCATGGTTGCCTTTTTATCCCCTCTCCCCACTGCACAGTGGACTGGGCCGTAGAGCAAGCCCACTTCGCCCTGTTCTTCAACCAGGGCCAGTGCTGCTGTGCTGGCTCCCGGACCTTTGTGCAGGAGGACGCTTATGCTGAATTTGTGGAGCGGAGCGTTGCCAGGGCCAAATCAAGGGTGGTTGGGAACCCTTTCCACAGCCAGACCGAGCAGGGGCCACAGGTAAGCCGGGCAGGTGCAGGGCTGGGCTGGGTGTCTGGAGCCAGCCTGGGGCTGTAGAAAGGGCATCAGGCTTGGCGTCAGGCAGGACTGGGTTCAAGTCTCAGTTCTGCCCTGTCCCAGCTCTGTGCCCCTGGGGAAGCCACATTTTCTCTCTCAGCCTCCATTTCCCCATCCCTGGGCCAGCCCTTCCTCACTCACAGAAGGCTGTGGAATGGAAATTAATCAGGGAAGCACTTTGTAAATTGCACATAGATAGCAAATACCAGGAGTGTCTGCAAAAAGGAATATGTGTTTTCCAGACCTTGGCCATCCATAAAAATGCATCTACCAGGAGACACAGATCTATTAACCGGGGTTATTTCTGGGGAGTAGGCTGGGTGTGGGTAGGGTAGGGACTTTATTTCACTTTATATTCTTCTGAGTCATTTGATTTTTTTTTTCCTTAACATGAGCATGTGTTCATTTTAACTAATAAAATGATAGTCAATAATAATTATAATTAAAATCAAGACAGTGCCTGTCACAACCATTTCCTCTCACATTCTGGTCCTTTTTCCAACATTGGCCTTAGACCCAGGCTGTCCTGGGCTCACTCCTTCCAGGCCTATACTGGCCTCTTCAGCTTTACCCTCCCATGGGGTGAGGAGTCCACAGGGTCAGAGCCGTCCCTGCCCTAGCCCTACTGCTCTCTCTCTCTCTCTCTCTCTCTCTCTCTCTCTCTCTCTCTCTCTCTCTCTCTCTCTCTCTCTCTCTCTTTCTCTCTAACAGCTTTATTGAGATATAATCCACATATTATAAAATGCACAATTTTACTTTTTGTTTTGCTTTGTTTTTGGCAGCTGGCCAGTAAGGGGATCCAAACTCTTGACCTTGATGTTGTCAGTGCCATTAAAATGCACCGCTTTAAAGTGTGCAATTCAATGGCTTTTATATAATTACAAGGTTGTACAACCACTGCCAGTAACTCCAGAATGTTTTTATCACCCGTCAACAAAACATCCTGTACTCATGAGCAGTCACTCCCCATTTCTCCCCCAGTGCCTGGCAACAACCAGTCTATGTTCTGTTTATAGATTTGCCTATTCTGGATATTTTGCATAAATGGAATCCTACAATATGTAGTCCTTTGCATCTGGCTTCTTCCACCTAGCATGAGGTTTTCACGGTTCATCCATGTTGTAGCATATTTTGGTACTTCATTGCTTTTTATGGCTGAATAATATTCCAGTGTATGGATAGAGCACGTTTTGTTTATCTGTTCATTGGAATCCTACAATATGTAGTCCTTTGCATCTGGCTTCTTCCACCTAGCATGAGGTTTTCACAGTTCATCCATGTTGTAGCATATTTTGGTACTTCATTGCTTTTTATGGCTGAATAATATTCCAGTGTATGGATAGAGCACGTTTTGTTTATCTGTTCATCCACTGATGGATACTTGGGTTGTTTCCACCTTTTGGCTATTGTGAATAGTGCTATTAGGAACCCCAACATCTCTTTTTCTCTCGTTTTTCTTTGTGGTTATTTAATTATTAAGGTAATAAAACTTGTATAAAAATTTAATAAAAAAGCATTTAAAGTAAAAAATAAGATCCCTTGCTTCCCTCTTTGTCTATTCTCCTTAAACACACACAGAGTTACATTGTTGTATGTTTAACAAAAATAGGATTATATAGTACATATTTTTCCATGTTTTCTTCTTTGCAGAATATCTTGGGTTCTCTTTCTGTGTCAGTTCATTCACAGTTCTGTCAGTGACAACATAATATACGGATATACCATCATTATTTTAACCAGCCCCTTCACTGACTTATACTTAGAATTGTTTCCATTTTTTGCCTTTACAAATGTTTCCCAGTGAATATTGTTGTTCAGTTATCTTTGTGCACAAGTAAAATAAATTCCTAGAAATTAATAGCTGGGTCAAAGGGTATGAGCATATCATTTTTGACTGATATTAATCACTTGCCATAGAGCTGTACCAGTTCACAATCCTTCTGGCAGTATATGTAACATAACATACCCTAGCTGTCAATGTATGTTCTCATTGTTTTAAATTTTTGGCTGATCTTGTAGTTGAAAAATAAAAACAATGAGTTTGACAAGTGTTTCTTTGATGGCTAATGAGGTTGAACATTTTTGGGTTTTATGTTTATTGGCCCTATGTGTTTTCTCTTCTGACCTTGCTTATTCCTGACTGTGGCACATTTCCCAGTTTTCTGGTTGTCTGCATGGTTCTCAGCCTGAAGCCTAGGAGAGGTCTGAATCTAGCATCTCCATAACTCTGGGTTCCTTCTCCTGCAGGTGGACGAAACTCAGTTTAAGAAGATCCTTGGCTATATCAAAACTGGGAAGCAAGAGGGGGCGAAGCTGCTGTGTGGTGGTGGGGCCGCTGCTGACCGTGGCTACTTCATCCAGCCCACCGTGTTCGGAGATGTGCAAGATGGCATGACCATCGCGAAGGAGGAGGTTAGCACGGGAGCCAGCACTCGGGGCAGTGTTCTTGGCGGCAAGGAGAGGTGGGCAAGTCAGTTCAGCATCTTGATGCTGTGACCCATCCACTGGCTTTGGGCAAAATCTTGGTTCTGTGCCTGGAGCAAGTTATTTACAATTTGCATCTGATTTTAGCACTTTCCTCTTCAGCCTGTTGTGGCTGCCCACTGTCTGGGAGAACTTCTGAATTCTCTGGCACAGCCTAGAGCCCTTTGTGTTCTGGTCTCTGAGCCATGAGTCTAGAAATGACATCCCCTGGCCCATCCCATGGCCTTGACAACAAGCAGGACATTGGCTTAGACCAAAGGGTGGATTCCCAGCCTGATGAGGTTGCTTTGATATTCCTGCTGGGTGCTCATTGTGAATGCAGGGCAGCAGCTCTGTCTAATTCATTCACTCAGTCGCTTCACAGTTATTTAGGGGTCTTCTCCCACCTCCGTCTTTATCCTCTCCGGGCCTGGTGTGAGCCATTTTTTCGAAGAGTCCTCATTCTTTTTAGTGGAGAGTGGGATTCACTGAGAATGGGTGCTGAGTGTGCTCTGCCTGGGTCTCTATTTCCTCCTCTCTGCTCCTCATCCCACTCCAGTTTGGCCAGTTTCTGCTCCTGTTGTAGTACAGCTTGACTGTCACTTCTGCAAAGCCATCCATGACATCCTGCCCCAGCAGCCAGTCAGGCCCCTCTGGGCTCCCACCACACATCACACTGCTTGCAATAATCACGTTGTAATTACTTCAGTACATTGTCCCTTGATTGCATTATAGTCACTTTAAATCAGTCCCCCCAGTGGTCTCTCCTGAGAAGGTAAGACAGTGATACCCCAGCAGCAACGAGCACACCCCATCCATGTCTGGGTTTCTCAGTGCAATTCTTCATGAACAGGAATGAGAGTTCCTTAAAGACATGGCTCATGCCAGGACCAGGCAAGGGAAAGTACAAGATGATCCTGGAACATCTTGAGAGTAGAGACCATTTGTTCACAGTTGTTTCTTTAGCATCTAGTCTTTGCCTTGAATGTAGGTTATATTTGCTGGGTGATTGACTTAAATTCTTTAACACTAAATCTATATGTCTCATGCCAGTAACCCATACATTGCAGGATTGTTTAGAAATAAGATACTGTATGTAAAGCACAAGGTGCATGGAAGGTAATCAGTCCCTGTTAGCGTCCTCCCCTTCGTGTTTCAGTGAGCTTGGTGGCTGTCATATCGTCTCACTCTGGAACTTAGGTTACGGCTGAGGGCTCGTCCCACATCTGGAATCAGCTGCTCAGTTCTCCATGTTGCCACACTCTCCTGCTCTGCTCTCTCACCCCAGATCTTCGGGCCAGTAATGCAGATCCTGAAGTTCAAGACCATAGAGGAAGTTATTGGGAGAGCCAACAATTCCAAGTATGGGCTGGCTGCAGCTGTCTTCACGAAGGACTTGGACAAAGCCAATTATCTGTCCCAAGCCCTCCAGGCTGGCACTGTGTGGTAAGAGCCTCCCAGTAATCAGGAAAGATCCCCCAAAGCCAGGGTCTTCTGGAATCTAGTGCTCACCATCCCAGAATTTAGGGTGCTGGGCTTAGTTTCTCCTGGGTCTGCCTGTGGTATAGCTGATAGATTAAAGATTTCCTGCCACTTCTCCTCCAAGGGATTAAACTTCTCTTGTGCAAATGCCCCTGCAGCTCTCCTTGGGCAGCAGATGGATGATTGGACTCCTTATCAAGCTATAACAAGGGCAGGAGGCTAGAGCTGAGGGTATCCATGGCTGTAATATTTATCTTAAAAGCTTAACACATACGGCCAGCCTGTGGCTCACTTGGGAGAGCGTGGTGCTGAGAACACCAAGTCAAGGGTTAGGATCCCCTTACCAGTCATCTTTAAAAACAGAACAAAACAAAAAAAACCCACCTACTTCACAACCACTAGGATGGCTATAAATATATATATATATATTTTTTTTAAAGATGACCGGTAAGGGGATCTTAACCCTTGACTTGGTGTTGTCAGCACCACACTCTCCGAAGTGAGCTAAACGGCCATAGGATGGCTATATTTTTAAAAACAGAAAATAACAAGTTTTGGTGAGGATATGGAGAAATTGGAACCCTTGTTCATTGCTGGTGGGAATGTAAAATGGTACAGTCATTGTGGAAAACAGTATGGCAGTTCCTCAGAAAGGCAAATATAGAGTCACCATATGACCCAGCAATTCAACTCCTAGGTATATACCCAAGAGAAATAAAAACATGTCTACACAAAAGCATGTACACGAATGTGCATAACAGCATCATTCATAATAGCCAAAGGTGGAAATGACCCAAATGTCCATCAGCAGATGAATGGATAAACAAAATGTGGTCTGTCCATACAATGGAATATGATTCAGCAATAAAAGGAAGGAAGTACTGATGCTTGCTCTAGTGTCGATGAACCTTGAAAACATGACACTAAGTGAAAGCAGCCAGACATGAAAGGCCATATAGTATATGATTGCATTTATATTCAATATCCAGAATAGGTAAATCCATAGAGACAGAATGAGGAGTGACTGCTTATTGGGCACAGTGCTTCTTTTTGGGGTAATAGAAATGTTCTGGAATTAGACTGTGGGTATGGTGGCAACACATTGTGAAGATGCTATAAACCATTGAATTGTATATCTTAAAATGGTGAGTTCTAAATTCAATTAAAATTTAATAATTTTTTTAATTGGAAAAAAAATGCTTAGCACCAAATTAGCGAAAATGATTAGTTCAAATCAGAAGCTGTTCCGTGGTGCACTCCATTATTGACATCCACCTGTGACCACATCATGAAGGATGCAGATGACTTCAGCCTCTCGTTTTGGACTACTCTGTGGCTGCTTATTACTATGGTTCCATCCATCCATTTTTCCTCAGTAAGATTTTAGAGCAATGCAGGGGGCCCCAGGAGTGTAATACATATCCCCCAAGAGTGATTTCTACAATCTCATTTCCAATTATAGGGTCAACTGCTATGATGTGTTTGGGGCCCAGTCACCATTTGGCGGCTACAAGATGTCAGGGAGCGGCCGGGAGCTGGGCGAGTATGGTCTGCAGGCCTACACCGAAGTGAAGACGGTGAGTACAGGCACCCACCGTGCATGTAGCTCCTCAGCCTCTCAAGTCCTTATTACTAACTTCTCAATGTAAGCCAGAGAAGCTACGAAAAAGTGTAAAGACCCAGGCTCTGCTCTGTCCTGTGAGAACTAACTAGGGACTTGATCCCACCAGGCCCACACAGCCATTTGCTGGGCTTTGTTATACGCCAAGGGCTACAAAGCCTGAGCAGCAGGAAGGACCCAGTGGACGGCAACAGTGAGAAGCTTCTAGTAAGAATCAGGCATTAGATATCAAGGGCCATATTACTACCCATATTCTTTGAATTTGCAGTTTCAGTGATAGGAATATAGCCTAAAGAACTAATCAGAAATACGAAGAGAGCATTAGTTCCATAATGTTCATCACAGCATTATCTTTAAGAGGGAAAAATCAGATGTAACCTAAATGCCCAGTAAATTATGGAACACCCCAACCATGGAGGACTAGGTAGCCATTAAAAATACTTGTGTAGAATATTTGATGTGGAAAATGCTCATTCTTTAAAGTAAAAAAGCAGGACACAATATATACGGAGCGTAAGCCCAATCTTAGAATAATGGTGGCACGTATGTAGATCCTTAGACACATTTATTTATAAATATAAACAAGGAAGGAAATACACTGAAGTGAAAATGATTTTCTCTCTACAATGAACACTAATTACAGTTTAACCAGGAAACACACACACAAGTGGGTCTGGCTGGTTAGTTCAGTTGCTCAGAGCGTGGTACTGATAACAACGAGGTCCAGGGTTTGATCCCTGTACTGGCCAGCCACCAAAAAAAACCAAAATGCATACACACAAGTGATATGTAAAGAAAAGAGAAATGGGCCAAACTGAACTTTTTTAGGGAAAGAGGCTCAGGGCAAGCCAGCCAGCCAAGGAAGCAGGTGAGAAAAGGCAAACAGGATTTATTCAGGACCACAGTGCTAAGCCTGAGAATAGAGAGACCAAGAAGACACAACCTATATTCTCAAAAAGCTCAATGGAATAAAATAGACATGTTTGCTTGTTTATTGTAAAAAGTTTCCGGTATATACAAGAGTAAGTATAATAGTATAATTAGCCCATGTCCCTCTCCATCACACAGCTGTGACAAAGATCAGCTCACAGCCAGTCTTGTGTCTTGCATAGCCACCAGTTCCCAGTACACATTTATCACACAGTGCACGAGAAGAGCCCATAGAAACAGCAGATGGCCCATGTGGGTAGAAAGCTTGCATTGGGTTTTGGGGGGATCACGTCAGATAGAAAGATCCAGCTTCAGCTGATGGAGAGTCTTAAACCTTGGAAGATAGTGTTAGGGAGGAGACATCCAGGCTGCCTACAAGACAAGGTAACGTTGAGGCTGATACCCGAAGGATGAACACAATCTGAGTTGGTAAAGGGAGGAAGGGAAGAACATTCGGGACAAAGCGTGGTTTATGGAAGAGCTGTGACAGCAAGAACCATGGCTTTTCTAGGAACTAAAGGAAAGTTGCTGGTGGTAGAAGATATAGTGGTTTAGGAGGAGTGAGTGGGGCCAGACATGTGAGACCTTGTTGGCCATGACAAGGGGTTTGAGTTTGGTGTCTTTTGTGGAAAGCTATGAAAGCATTTTAAGCAGGAAAGTGAAATGACTCAATTTGCATTTTTATAAGATCACCCTGCTTAATTTGTTCAGACAGATTAGTTGATTAGTGGTTGTCTAGGGCATGGGGAATGGGAAGTGACGGTTAATAGGTACAAGGTTTCTTTTGGAAATGATGAAAATGTTCTAAAATTAGAGTATGGTGATGATTGCACAGTTCTAAATATGCTAAAAAGCCATTGCATTTTATGGTGTGTAAATTATGTCTCAAGAAAGCTGTTTAACAAAAAGAAAATTTTTAAAAATACAAAGAAAATAAAAAAACAAACTGTAAAAAAAAAAAAAAACCAAACTAATAAACAAAAAGAAAGCTGTTTATCTATTTATTTATTTATTTATTTATTTATTTATTTATTTATTTATTTATTTATTTATTTATTTATTTATTTATTAAAAGATGACCGGTAAGGGGATCTCAACCCTTGGCTTGGTGTTGTCAGCACCACGCTCAGCCAGTGAGCTAACCGGCCATCCCTATGTAGGATCCGAACCTGTGGCCTTGGTGTTATCAGCACCGCACTCTACTGAGTGAGCCATGGGCCGGCCTAAAAAGAAGGCTGTTTAAACGTTTAAGAAAGTTCACTGTGTCTGCTGTGGGGAGCATGGACTGCCTGGGCAGGAGGAGGGACAGGAGGGTGGGTGGGGCATCGTGTGGAGAGGAGGTAGACGGAAATGAGTGGATTTGACAGGAAGCTAGAAGTAGATTCAATCTGACTGGAGACTCTGGATATAGGGAGGAAAAGCGAAAATAGGATTCAAAGATGATGCCTAGGTTTCCAGCTGGGGGATGGATGGTGATGCTGTTCCTCTGACAGGGACACTGACGTATGTTGGGTCACTGTAGGGTTGAGTTCAAGGTACCCAAGGGAATCTTGAGAGGAAAGGTGTAGAACACAGTAGGGGAGACGGGTTTAGAGTTCAAGGGGCAAGACCCAGATTGGGACTAGAAATCCAGATGTTGTCTGCCTACAACTGTTCATGGTTAGGACGGTTACAAGCAAGATTATTTAGGTGTGGAGTGAGGGGCTGGGAGGGCTAGGCCTGAGCCAGGAGGAACTGCTACATGTAATGACTGGAGCTGCGGGAGGCCCGGAAAGAGGAGACTTGAGGCCAGGAGATTTGTGGAGGAATCCAGGTGTCAGCCAACGCTGCTGGGGGCCTCAGGGACTGGAGAGGTTGGAAAGAATGGGAGAAAGCTTTTGCAGGAAGAATTGACAGGACTTGAGGAGTGGGAGGATTTCTAGGATGCAGGCAAAGAAACAAAGCTGATTCAGTCCAGCGACTTTATCTGGAGGGTCCGCACTGTGGCAGGCACTGTGCCAAATGCTCGTGGTAAAGATTCCTGTATTTTGAGCTTTGGGGGCACAAACAATGATACTTACAAAAATAGGGATTTTTTTCAGAAGAGAAGTCAGGTTTGTAAGCAGGGCCCAGTGAGAAAATTTCTTCTTTTTCATTCATTTTTACTGAGTGCTTACCTTGTGCTGGAATCTGTGCTTGACTTTCTTTTTTTTTTTTTTTTAAAAAAGATGACCAGTAAGGGGATCCTTAACCCTTGACTTGGTGTTGTCAGCACCACGTTTTCAGAAGAGAAGTCAGGTTTGTAAGCAGGGCCCAGTGAGAAAATTTCTTCTTTTTCATTCATTTTTACTGAGTGCTTACCTTGTGCTGGAATCTGTGCTTGACTTTCTTTTTTTTTTTTTTTTAAAAAAGATGACCAGTAAGGGGATCCTTAACCCTTGACTTGGTGTTGTCAGCACCACGGCTCACCCGGTGAGCGAACCGGCCATCCCTATATGGGATCCGAACCCGTGGCCTTGGTGTTATCCGCGCTGTACTCTCCCGAGTGAGCCACGGGCCGGCCCCTTTGCTTGACTTTCTTATGTGTGTTATTTCAGTTAATCTCCACAGTCACCCCATGAAGGATACTGCTTTTATCCCCATTTTACAGATGAGGAAATGAGGCACACAGAGGGGAAATACTGCCAAGTTAGGGGGCAGAGCCAGGATTCAACCCAATTCCATCAGACTCTGGAATCTTCCCATTTAACATATTGAGATAACCTGAGAGCTTAAGCATATTATTTTTACCTTGCTTTGATTCTTGTGGAGGAGAATATGGATCCAGGTCAGGGTTTCTTCACTTTGGCACTGTAATTTGAGGCTGGATGATTCTTGGTGTTGGGCGTTGCCCTGTGCAATGTAGGAAGTGTTTCAGCATGCCTGGTCTCTACCCACTCGAAGCCAGTAGCACCATTCCCCTGTGACAACCAAAAATGTCTCCAGACATTGCCAGATGTCCCGTGGGGGGCCTGATCACCCCTGGTTGAGAACCACTATGTTAAGGTGAGTCAGGGTGGAATAACCCTAGGTGGGTTGTTGGAATCGGCTAGTTGGCCAATGAGGTGTTAGAAGTATGAAAAGCCCCTTCTGCTCATACTTGGGCAGCGCCTAGCTGAGGGCACCTGCAGGTCACAGGGAAGCATGAAGATCTAACAGCTTCTCTGTACCCTTCCTACAGGTCACCGTCAAAGTTCCTCAGAAGAACTCTTAAAGAATTGTGCCATCTGCCGTCCTCATCCAGTGATGGAAAGTTCAGCGAGATCAGCAACAAAACCAAGAAAAATAACCCTTGCATGCTGAAAGTCTCGAAAAGAGAAATTCTTTCACAAAATCTCTGCGTCAAGAAAGTCCCGGAATTTGAATTGATAAACAGGGAGGGTTGGTGGGGTGAAGAGTATGTGAAAAGCCTTTTAAAGTGCAACAATACTAGCTTGCAGGGTGATTTAAAAAAATAGATTAAAATGTCTTACCCTGCCTCTCTTATACACTTATGTAACTGGCCTTTATGGGGGAAGAAAAAACCATTGTTTGCAGTTGTATTAGCATCAAGGCTGCTGCTTGTATTACACCTTGCTTTGTATTCTGGACAAAAACTCATTAAAAATAGTGCTGCTGTTAACTTCTTGGGTAACTCTTCCTCCTTCTCAGTAACCTCAATATGTGGCCAGGCAGGAATGCTGTCCCACTGTTGGTAATGTCACATTCTGTAAGATTACTACCCCTCCCCGGCTGTGAATAAACACCTTTTGTTTCATGCATTTAATGAACGAATATCCCCGGCCTGCCTACCTGTGGCAGGCCCTGAGCTAGGCACTGGGGATAAAACCTCAACACGACTCAACAGCCCTTGCACTCACAGAGGAGGCCAGTAAACCAGGAAAGAGACATTGAATATCCAAAGTTGATTCTGTTTTAGAAGTTCAAAAATTTGATCAGACCTAATGAGACAGAGTCATGCTGGACCAACTTCATGAGAGATTGATTTGGAAGCCAGATGTCAGTTTATTCAGTTTAAGTGAGATCTGTATTTTCTCTACCCAGACCTTGAAGCTCCTATGCAGAATGCTGCCTATCTTTTGTCAAGTCACCTGGCCAACCAGTAGTTAGTATTCTTAGTAGTCCGTAATCAGATTCCTTGGTGAGGAATGGCATCGGAGCAAAAAGAGGTGAATTGCAGTAGTAGTTTATGAAGCTTGTGATCATTTTTGGGTTGCAGTTTCCTTTGATAATTTGAAGAGAAAGTTTGACCCTTTCCTGAGAAAAATATACTTCTTTAATTTTTGCACACAATGTGTGTGGAGGGGAGAGGTGGCGATAAAGCTCATTAGGTGAACTCTGGCCTTATTTCACTCAGGCTAAGCCACCTCTTGATAAACAATCACTGTTCCACTAAAGACTAATTTTAGTTATTTGAATAGCGCTTTACAATTTTTATCATATATACATATACCTGTACTATTTTTTATTTAAATCAATTTTTTTATTTAAATAAAAAATTTAAAAACGCATTGTCAAACATAAAAATAGCATTTACCATAAACAGAAAGCAATGAAAAATGATTGAAGCAAAACAATGTTATTTACTTCAGAATTATGAAGTGCAAGTAATAAATTGAATCATGAAAACTGTTCATACCTGGAAATAAGTGTGCCTCAGTGAGGAGAATAGGATTTTATGAGCAGTGAGAAATAATGGGACATTCCAGTTTATGTTGCTTCAGGACGAAATTTGTTTTAGCTTTTTTTTTTTTTTTTAAAAGATGACCAGTAAGGGGATCTCAACCCTTGGCTTGGTGTTGTCAGCACCACGCTCTCCCACGTGAGCTAACTGGTCATCCCTATATAGGGATCCGAACCCATGGCCTTGGTGTTATCAGCACTATACTCTCCCAAGTGAGCCATGGGCAGGCCCTTTGTTTTAGCTTTGATGGTGACCATGACCAGGGACGATACCAGCTAACGTGAACCTAGTGGCAAGGGGCAAAGCTTGGACCCGCCCTTCAGAGCCAACCCTGTTCTCCCATCCTGCTCTGTGACCTCCCCGAGCATAGAGAGGACCTGTTCCATGTGGGCAGCTGTCCCTGCCCTCATGCCAGTTGCAGCCTACCTGGGGAGAGGGGCATTAAAGGTAGGGACATAATAGAAACTGCCATGGGTAGTCAGAAAGAGTGTGTTCTGAGAGTGGGAGAAGGGCCTGGCCTAGCTACTAGGCTGGGCCTTGCAGAAGAAAAGGCCATTTGTCCATATAAGTATATATTGGAAGTTACTGAGTGCTTTGGTACTGATGAGGGCAGACAGACTTTTTTAGAAGAGGTTATAATACAATATTGAGGCCAGGTGCAATCAGAAAGAGAAGGTAACAGCATCATGGGAGGACAAGGAGGGTGCCAGCTGACTGGGAGAGGGAGAAGGTGCCCTAGGGGGGTTCCCACTGTATTTCACTTACTTTCCAGGCCTCCTGCCAGAAGGTTCAATTCCTGAAGGTTTGAGACATCCCTGGGATATATGCCTATAATTTATGCCCTTTGTGTAAATGGGAGTACTGCTGTTCTGTGCTTGATATTTGCCCTAAGCAATAATAAATGCATGTCAGAGTCTAAATTCCAAAGTGAAAAGCTTGGCTCCTGTACAATTATAAAGTGAACACAGGTCAAAGATTTTATTCAACCTGTTAACAAGGGAATCAGCAAGACGTAAAGCAAGTTAAACAATCCCAGAGAAGAACTGGGCATTTTAATACAGCGATGCTAGAATAGATTGCTAGATTAGATACAAAACTGATTAATGTCTGATGAGGCAAGAAACCATAAATGTGGGGGGTTTGTTTTTACCAGACAAATCATTTGCATCTCTATTGGACACAAATCTACAAGGTAGTAGGTTATGTCACAGAGCCTGAGCTCTTAATTGGTAAACAGCAAATTCAAACAATGGTACAATCTCCTAGAACAGGGTTAGCAATTTTTTTCTGTCAAAGACCAAGAGAGTAAATATGTTGGCTTTGTAGACTATGTAACATCAACACCATATATTTTGGGGGGTTTTATTTTATTTTTTTTTTATGGCCATTTAAAAATCAAAATCCATTCCTAGTTTAAGGGCCATACAAAATAGGCCACAGGCTGGATTTGACTCCATGGCCATGGAGTCATAAGAAAATCCTTGGGTGGGCTTGTTACTCAGTGTTTTGATATGACATTGAAAGGATATATTTTTATCCTCTTGGCTCTATTTGTACGTTTTAGCTAATTTACAAATACATAATCGTTAAAACAAAGTTTGCCTTGGAACCACCTAAAATCATCTCAGTAACACTATGGGTAGGCAAAGCTTACTTTGGGAAACAGGATTACTTGTTCCATCCAGCTCCAAGAGACTCCCTCCAGCAGTTCAGGTTTTTGGTCCACTGCTTTTTTTTTTAATAAAAAGACCAGTAAGGGGATCTGATCTTGACCCTTGACTTGGTGTTGTCAGCACCACACTCTCCCAAGTGAGCTAACTGGCCATCCCTATATAGGGATCCAAACCTGTGGCCTTGGGGTTATCAGCACCACACTCTCCCAAGTGAGCCACGGGCTGGCCCTGGTTCACTGCTTCTTTAATATCTATGATAAGATCTGGGAAATGCCCAAGCTAACTAGATAGAGACAAATGAGATTTGAGAATATCTTCCCCTTGCAGCAATGTTTTTCCAAAATCACCCTGGAAATTTGTTTTTGATATTTTAAAGTTTTATTTTATTATTACTAAGTTAGTATATAACAACCTCCCCCCACCCATTGCTAAATTTGACTGGCTTTACGAAAAGATTTAAAATTTTATCCATTCAATGGTGCTGATAACACCAAGGGCCAGGGTTTGATCCCTGTACCAGTCAGCTGCCAAAAAGTAAATAAATAAAATTTTATCCAGTCATTCATTCCTGTTTCAGTAAATGTTTAGTAGCACTTATCATAGGCCAGGTACTATGCTGGGCACCTGCTTCCCCAGGGAGCAGCCGATCATTTTACCTGCCCTCAATGTGTACAATCCAGCTGTGGAGACAATGAAACAAGCAACTGCAATAAAAAGTCACCAGAAGCAAAGTGTCATAATGAGACTGGACATCCCCAGATTGTGGGATTAAACTATTTGGGGCTTGTGACATTCCCCTATGCAGTATACACATTTTTGCTTTAATGTTGGGTGTTACTACTTAGAAAGAACAATGAATTAGGAACTATGGAAGCAAAGCTAGTGTTAACTTTATGTGAGCTACTTTGGTGTCTCCCTCACTGAGTTACAGGGTTCTGTTTCTTCCACTCTTCATTTTTGTTCCCAGTCCACATGCGTGTTAGCAAAAATAAAAGTTTATCTCTCTCTCAGGTAAAAGAGGTCCAAAGGTGAGAAGTCAAGGGCTGTTAAAGTGATTCCATGAAGTATTCAAGGGACCCAGGCTGCTACCATTTCAATGTTACATCATCCTGAGAAGATGGCCAACATCCTCAAGATGGCTGCTAACACTCCAGCCATTACATCAATATTCCAGGCAGCAGAATGATGGAAAGGACAGAGAGGTGGAACTCCCTTCCCTTTCAGGAGACATCCCAGAGGTTGCACACAACACTTCTATTTATATCTCTTTGGACAAAATTTAGATAGATGGCCACACCTAGCTGCAAAAAAAGGATGAGGAATATTGCTTAGCTGGGCACCAATTTGCCTGGCTAAAGTTGAAGTTCTTAATTCTTTTCTTTTCTTTTTTTGACTGGTAAGGGGATTGTAACCCCTGGCTCGGTGTTGTCTGCACCACGCTCAGCCAGTGAGCACACCGGCCATCCCTAAATAGGATCTGAACCCGTGGCCTTGGCACCGCACTGTCCCGAGTGAGCCACGGGGCCGGCCCTGAAGTTCTTAATTCTAAAGAAGAAAAAGAACAGAGATTTGGGGAGGCAATGAGCAATCTCTGCCGCAATGTGAAACATCACTCTGTGATCTGATTGTGTTGATAATGCCTTTTTTTTAATATACTCTCCAAATTACAGAAAACTCTTTACTTGGGATTTAGGGCAATGCCTTCTCTAACATTACCACCAGCTTAATCCAAATCTCATTTAAGAGGATGAGAGTACTTTTGTGAAATTTTTCTATATAGACAGTGTATCATTTAAGAATATTTTAAGGGCCGGCCCGGTGGCGCACTCGTTAGAGTGTGGCTTGGGAGCGCGGCGGCGCTCCCGCCGAGGGTTCGGATCCCATATAGAGACTGGTCCGCTCACTGGTTGAGCGCGGTGCGGGCGCGTGACACCAAGGGTTGCGATCCCGTTGCCGGTCACGAAAAAAGACAAAAAGGAAAAAAAAAAAAAGAATATTTTAAGATGTTGGTCAAAGGGTAGAACTTACAACTGTAAGATAATTAAGTTCTGGAGACCTAATGTACAGCATGGTGATTACAGTTAAATATGTATTGTATACTTGAAATTTGCTAAGAGAGTAGATCTTTTTTTTTTTTTTTTAAAGATGGGCCGGCCCGTGGCTCACTCGGGAGAGTGCGGTGCTGATAACACCAAGGCCCCGGGTTCGGATCCCACATAGGGATGGCCGGTTCGCTCACTGGCTGAGCGTGGTGCTGACAACACC